GTTTTTGAACAATTAGCTTAATAGAATAGAAAGTGGTTTAAATAGAAACATGGCTCCTTTAATGACAGTAGATAAAGTGAACAGTCATTGGACCGACAGTACGAGCGGTTTCATCTGTTTGTCTCGCGTGCTTATGGCGTAAAACAAACATTTACTATTAATGTGTACGCATCACCAACGAATAATTGTCTAATTCTTTGCCTGGTCTTTCATTGGTGAGTGTGCTCAAAGATTGTATTTAGGTGGCACCAGGATTTGCCAGACGGGGGTCAGACGTCCTCGAGGGGGAATGGCGCGATGTCACCGACGACAAAATATTGGGCGTGATCGGGCGACAATTTAGGGGTTTCAAAAGCTTGTATTTTAGAATCTACTAATAGGCCTATGTAGAAAATACACTTTATTTCTCCCAGACGAATTGGGCTTTTTCTCCCCGACGGGGGAGGGGGCCTTAGCCCCGACGGGAGCTGGCCCTCTTACCTCCCCGTGATTAATTTTCTAAATATTATTTTAGTTTTTCGTTTTTATTTATTTACGTAGATTGTCCATTTCCAAAATGGAGTCCCCCTGAATGTGAAATGGACTGTCCTGTGTGTTATAACGGTGGAGTTTGTGACGACAAGAATGGTGTTTGTATTTGCCCTGCTGGCTTCAAAGGAGATAACTGCAAAACAGGTAGGCGTAGGATATTCCTGATGTATTCGATTATACACACGTAATGTATGATCTGGAGCGCATGTGTTTATTTATTTTTTTAAGGATTTATTTCAGTTTATTCGTATTCTTAAATAGTGCAATAAATATTTAATATAAGTCAAAATATATCTCATTTTATGATTCATTCTCCTGTTTTTACTTTTTTGTTTAGGTTGTGGGTCAAATGATTGGGGACGTAATTGCGATGTCTTTTGTAGTACTGGTAGTAATAGAGATGAAGCTTGTAGTGGTCAACTATTTTGTCCGCCTGATCCTGTCGGTTGCGCGTGCATCGACGGATACGGAGGTGAAGATTGCAATACAGGTTTGGAAAGTTATAGCTGTTCCTGTTTATAAATTTGATGCTCCTAATGTTCATTACAGTCCTAATTATGTTATTTTTATTTCTTTAAGCACACCATACACGTGCAAAGGATTGAAAAGAGCGAATATATCACTATCTTACTTGTAGGTGACAATTGCTTACACAAGTCAAACATACATACACGATGCTTTACACAAACTAAATCTCAATATGAGATTTAGGGAGTGAAGTTGTTTTGTCGTGAGAAAAAAATCTTGCAACTGGCAGGAATTGAACTCAGGACCCTGGGATTGGAAGGCAGGCATCTTAACCACTAAGCTATTCAACTCCACTCCAGTATCTACAGTATGATTATTAATTATACGCTAATCACCACAGTCGAACAACTGTAAAAAGCAATCAGCATGTGAGGAATCATTCCATGAACACAATTAATAAATCAACACATTAGTTTTCAAATTACCTAAGTATGAAAAATTGCCCAGGACACCAAAAAGTAACCCGAATTAGGAATTACTGTGCATAATTGAATTGAAACGATAAACGTAACATTGTCACTCGTCACATGTCTTTTCAAGGAAAATGAAGTACGCTCCAAACGACTACCAATTTTTATTTTCTGTTATTTTTTTAGCATGTGATGGAAGTCACTATGGTGCAGACTGTCGCCAAGAATGTCACTGCAATTCAGGAGTATGTGATAGAAAAACAGGAGTTTGTTCAGCCGGGTGTTCGGTCGGTTACACCGGACCAGCTTGTCAAGGTATATTAAAGTTTTGTTTGTCAAATGTTATGAATATTAGCAGTTTTATTTGTAATTATTTCGTATAAAATTTAGCAAATTATTAAAAAAAAAAAATTAGCAGTCAAATATTCCTATTTAGAAATACTACACTTCGTAAGTTACAAATGTAATTAAATATTGTAATTATATCTTGTTTCGGAAAACAAAAGTGCAATAGAAAATTGAATTAGCCTACTGTATTGTAATAATAATTCTAATATTCCTATTTACTGCTCAATCTGAGTGTCCGGCTTTTAACTCGTATTGATCGGATAAATTTTAAGTTTTGTATGTTTTTTCTGTTAATTGTATTAATTTCCGTTCTTGTCCTGTTTTCAATCTCCCTTGTACAGTTAATGTTTGTAAACGTAGTTTTTAGAGTTGATGATTGTAAACGTATTTTTCTTTCTAGGATTCCAATGAAATTTAATTCTATTTCTTCTACAAATGATATTAACATTTTTTATAACAATTTTTTTAAATCTTTCGGACTCTCGTACTTCACAATTTAGAAGTAATTATGTATTGTTTGTGTTTATTTTGTAATATTATATCATATCATATTAGTATGATGTTTATGATTTTAGCTAGATTTTTGCACCAGCCTGTTAGTGGCGATGATTCGCTCTGTTGGATTTAAATAAATAAATAAAATTGAGTTTAAACCTTTATTTTACATTCTATAATCACATTTAAAAAACAAAGTGACTAAAGAGAACTTAACGCATGGTTTAATATAAAGTCGCATAATTTACTTAAAATAAATTTAATATATTACCACCCTAATATTTAAAAAATAAATATTATAATGAAAGTTATTTTTATTAGCACTACCTTACAGTTCCAAACCGCCAACACTTTTGAATCACACAGCAACCACTCTAAAGATTGCAGCCTGCAGCTGGGATCCAGTTCAAGACTTTGGAACAGGAAATATAACTTGATGTAATTTATGCTACAAAATATCGCAGATAAGTGAATTCATTACAGTTAATAACATTGAACACGGTGTATATACCATAGACAATCTCCTACCACATACGACTGTTGAATTCTACACACGACATTCGAGATTATAGTCGGCGGCATATAAACTGATGGACCACCTAGCGAACATGGATCAGCAGAGACTATATGTACAAGTAAGGATATTTGCTTACTAATATTATTATCATCACCGCTACCACCACCACCACCCCCATTATTCTCATCTTTTTTACATTATGTTTTTCAGTTGTAGAATTAATAATCAAACGGGGCTCTTATTCGCACGAGGACGGTATACACCCTTAAAGGTTGAAAAAAAAAACATAAGGTGTTTTTTTTTAAATCGGGGTCGGGTGAACTTTTTTTTTTTTTTTTTTTTTTTTTCTATACAGGCCTATACAACAGGCCTTACAAATAATATAGGCCTATATTTGTTTTTTAATACAATTTAGGTGGATGTGATTGCACCACGGTCAGCATCCGCCAACGACTTTTTGGCCTATGAATATTTTGGGCTCTGGAGCACTGTCGTTTATTGAACGGTTTGTAATTGTTTACATATGTCGTAAAATATAAACTATTTAAAAAAATCACATCAATCATTGAATTATTCAAGTAATGTATGAGTTATTAATTATTCACTATGACTGTGAAATAAAAAAATAAATTAACAAGCTTTTAATAATGTATATATATGTGCACTCGTTTAGCATGAATGCCTATCTTAAAACCCATAGTATATTTTAATGTCTTAAATAACGGTCCAGACCTAAATGGCCGGGCTTAACGTAAGCCTGGCTTATCTCCAAGTCTGAATGTAGCATAATTTGAATAAAAGTCCTGAGAGCCAGAGTGTTTTAACTAAAACTACTGTTAATCCAAGCTAACGTAGGTAATTTATTTGTCTTTATTGTTTGATTATTGTTTTCTATATTTGTTTTGGCTAAATAACGAATGAATGAATGAACGAATGAATGAACGAACGAACGAACGAATTAATTAATTAATTAATTAATTAATTAATTAATTAATTAATTAATTAATTAATTAATTAATTAATTAATTAATTAATTAATTAATTAATTAATTAATTAATTAATTAATTCCGAGTACCCTTTGCAGTTTCTGCAGCCATCGACTGATTGTCAGGTAGACTTTGGTGTCATTTTGTTTAGAACGACCAAGAAGTTTACGTCGTTCTCTAAACACCTTGTTTGTTTGTTTGATACCTTTCTCCACAGGCATGTAAAACGGCATGTCTTTGTGTTCAAGTCACTTAGACTAGGGTACGAGCGGTTTTAGAAAGTGTGTACCGATGAATTAACTGGTAAATAGCACGGGTATTTTTTCGCTCGAACGGGCCCTAAGAAGGAAGTTAAAGGATTTATTTAACAATGATGAACAGAAATTAGGTCTACATACCAGGACATTCTGTCTTTCAATTGCTCAGGACTGCGTATTATGTTTGCTTTCCAACTACAAACCTTTTATATTTGTATAGCAATACTAATACTAAGCACACAAGGAAGTAACTGTAAAAACTGTTGTATAATTATTCAGTGCTCAGTCTGAATTTAGAATCCAGATTCAGAAATTCTGTTCTGAATCAGTGACAGTATAGGAGAAAACGACATTGCTAAAAAGTCACAGATTTTTAGACCTACCAAGGAGTAACATCATTACAGCTGTGGACTTGAAGATGTACGGTACAGCATGTAGGTGGATTTTTATTCAAATAGCTACACAAGTCTGCTTGTACCGACTTACGGAATCTACAGGTAAGTGTAGAGTTATTATGTCGAAAATCCGTCAAAATTTCATTTATGGTTATAGAGACACACCATTTTTACCGGAGTCATTTTTACACTAGTGGCGCCATAAACTTCCCGACAAGGTGTCCAAGCTCTCCTACAAGGGGGTCCACACCCGAACGTTGGGTGTCGAGGAAGCCTTGCGATTCAAGATTATTCCTATGTTTGCGTAAAATGATTAACCTTTAAAGTAAATGTGTCTACATTATTTGAATTTAAGCCTAAAGTTAGATCAAAAGAATCAATTGTGTATGGGAGAACTTCCAGTTTTCTAAAAAAAAAAAAAAAAATCAAAACTGTTATATACTACAAAACAAAATAACAAAAAAACAAAATTATATAATTTTGAATAAATTAGCAAAACGCGATTTGGGTTTCTCAAGAAAAGGGGCCGGTGTAGATGCAAATTAGGTATTATCTGTTTTTGAGTAGGAATTTGGCAGTACAAGATATTATAACAAAAATAAGTATGAATGGATTGAAAAGGTGAGTTAATATTGGCCTACCTGTTGATGTACAAAAAGGCACAGGAAGAATGACATTACAGCTTTCGAGGTACACTAAAGTATAACCTGTTTCCGTCACCTTAGGCTTCCGGGTTATACACAACATTCTATGAGTGCACACAATACTGTAATACTTTTTGTTAGCTAAGCTCTGCTACAAAAAGTTGACTTATGATGCTAGGGGCGGCGCTAGCGGGGGCCCGGGAGGGCAAAGGACTCCCCGTCGGGGACCCCTAGACCCCTGCTTGGACCGCTGTAGGGGAATTTTCAGCGTCAGGGAAAGATCAAATTTCGAGCACTGAAAGTACAATTCAGACGTTCCTTAATAAGCTTTTACATTTTAGGGATTCAAAAATGTTTAGTGTGTACAGTGCTCCGTATGTGCGAGGTGTTTCGATCGTATGGGTTGCAGTGGTTGCGCCAGCGCTTCTCCGAGGGTCTATATCCTACAGGGGATTAGTACCTCCGACAGGGAGACTCTTAACTTGTATAGTTTTATATCAAATTATGCATTTTTAAATAAAGAATCCCATTATGGACACAACATTTTATTATGTTTTAATTTTAAAAAAAAGAAGAAAATACTGTAGTAATAATTTTCCATGACGGGTGGGAATCGCAAGGCTTCCCCGACTATTCGGTCCCAAAGATCGGGTGTGGACCCCTTTGACGGAGAGCTTTGACACCTTGTCGGGGCATTTCTGTCGCCACTAGTGTAAAAATAACTCCGGCAAAAATGGCCCTGGTAGGGATATTATTATAATGGTTAAAGGGTATTGTTAAACCCACAAACCTCCCAAAACCAAACCATGTAATTGTGATTGACTCACTTGGTATATCAACAAGAAAATGAAATAAATTCATATAAACCTTTTATTTACTGGATAGAATGTTAATTTTATTTTATTTTATTAGTATTATTATTTTTTTTATTTTTTTTTTGTGAAAAATAGCCTACCCACAATTACATTTCAAACCTTAAAAAACAGACCGCGAACCTTATCCAAACACTTATGATTGTAGGATCCTCTTTTCATATCATTACAAATTTTATTAATTTGATGTTTATAACAAACTTCTTTTTGCGGGTTTAGGAATATGCAGATTAAAGCTAAAAAAAATTTGGAAATTGTGATTGCGCTTCCGTGAAATTGACCACAACTAAATTATTTTAGTATTTAAAAATGCAGATTTATATTAATTTATTGATTAAATTATTGCTATTTTTCAACATTTAAATGTAAAATAAAATAAAAATAAAAAAAAAATATTATTCATATATTATGTTTTATTGAACAAAAAATAAATAAATAAGTAATAAATAAAAAAACAAATAATAGAAAAAAAAAAAAGTTTGGATACCAAATGTTATCATTGGAGGCTTTTTTTTACCGAGACCTTTGCTGATAATGCTTTTTAGGGTTTACAATATTTCATTATTACATACACTCACTAAAGTCTATCTTTCTACTATCGGTGAATCAAATTACCACATTGTTACCACTTTGACTTAAACCTATAATTATAGACTTATATTCACATAATTTGTGTATTTTGATATGGGCTATATTTAATTTTCTCACTTTGCCCACACTTTTGTCTCTTCTTTTTAATGATTTCATAAAAAGCAATAAATATTACTTACTTTAACACGCTGCGTCATAGGCTATTCCAGCTATGACCACATTCATAATTAATATGCCTTTCAGTTTTTCTTTTTTTTTATTTAGTAAGTAGTACTCTAAAATAACATGGCATTTCAATTCATCTTGTGACATTACCAAATCCTTTATTTTTGTAAGATCCAATGGATATAACATTCTACTCAGAGTCACCACACATTTCAAATGTCCGTGGATACGCGCTTCAAAACAGCAAAACAACAGATTTATCAATCGGCATATTAAACAAGAATAACAAGGAAAATGTAACCTGGACTGATACTGGACATTCAGATGGAAAAACAGGGTATGATAGAATTAGGAACATGCCAGGAAATAAAATATTTGACACACCAAGCGAAATAGCATACAGGATACATAAAGATTTTGTTTATCTCGGTGTCAGAAATTTACAAATCTCTCAAACAGTCGGCGTGTTTTCATTTGAAGCTACTAAGTCTGCAGTGGTAACCAGGTCGGCAATTGTTGTGACGTCAGCATCAGGTGAGTACATAATGACTCTTATCATTTTACAGCAGTTTTATATGAATATTTAAATTTATATATTTAGATTGTTTAAAGGTGTCAATTAAAAATCTTGCCTCGCTTTTGAAATAATTATAGGCCTATGTAATTAATATCTATGGTGGTGGCGTGTTTTGTCTAAACACTAAATGTAGCCGCCGTGGATTGAAACGTATATATTTTAGTTATACTGTATTGTTTTACACTGTAGATACGACGACAACCATTTAAGAACGTTGGTAAACTAGATTAGCGATTTTATATTTTATAGGCGCCTACTATAGAGAGACACACTAATGATTTACTATAGTTATTGATTCTATTCAAAACATTGGTTTCAACGAAATATAATCTCGAAACGTACGCCGGCTGGCAGGGCCTTGCCTTTTTATCTTGGCAGTACTTTTATATCTTTGGCAGTGTTTTTTTTTTTTATCTTGGCAGTACTTTGACGTACTGTAATCCTTATCCGGCTTGAAAAATAGCAAGATTAGACTGAAATAAACATTATATTTTTGATGAAAGTTGTATTTTTAGAATAAGGTGACTACTATATAAAAATATCAGGTGATTGGTATTTCCGGGATTGTGTAGATAGCATTTTAATACAAGTATCTAGATTTGCGGAAGACACTCATTCACTTGATAATTTTCGTGAGTGTCGAAACGATATGTCAGTCCCTATTATATTTCCATACTTCTTTGCAAATCGCTTAAATTTACGCTTGACTTTACGCTGAACTTCACGCTTAACTTGTATACTTACGATTTGATAGCTCAATATGATAGTTTGTGCCCGTATGTTAGCAGTAAACGCGGATATTGTGTTATGTTGGTTTTAAAGAAGTGTAAATAAAGTACTGTAGAGTTAGCGCTTAATTCGAATTTTTATGTTTCTCTTGTTTATTTTCGCACTCACATCATTTTCGAAGAATTAGTGAATCAAATTGAACATTGTTAAATCGTTAACGTTCTAAACGATGTCGCACCAAGACGAAGAGGTATAGAGTGTCACAATCAGAATATCGAAAATATCTGTTCCAAGCAAGGGCAGATAAGGCGAAGAAAGAATTTGTGAGTAAAAATTTCGAATTAGATAAAAAAGGAAATGGAGACTAAACTGCACGTAAGGTTTTAGAAGCGGAAGCAAAATTGTGCCATGGCAGCTGCTAGCGCTATGATTTGGGATAATGAATCCAACTGTTCTTATGGTCACGAAAATGATAATGTTCTAAGTAATCTACCACCTATTGATGCGACTAGGAAAACTGCCGAATTCATCATGCAATACACGCCAAACGAAGATTTATGTGACAAGAGTCAAGAACTGCCAGAGGCATTGACGTATCCGGGGTCAGGTAGGACGAGATGTGGGAGCCGCGGCTTCTCCCCCCTTTTTTTATACACAGTGTTACAATTTTAAAGCCTATTCTCGAGCCAATACAAATTGTTTCCTGAGATCACTCAAAATGTATACTTTTAAAACATGTAAATATGCATCAGTACACGTTATACATAGACCTAATAGAACACATAGGCATAAGCGTGATTTAAAAAAATCTTAAATCCATAAATCTCAGGCCAGGTCTTTTAAGATAGAAATGCATACTGTGGTTCAAATTCGTTTTTATCCTTTTCTAAGTTTCTTTAAATTTTTGTTTAATAATACTACTACTAATGACAGTAATGATAGTAGTAATAATAATAATAATAATAATAATACTAATAACAATGATGATGATGATGACGATAGTAATAATTGATAATAATATTAATAGCAATACAATGAAGAAAATTGTGCTAAATGCGAAAAAAAAATTGTGATTTGTTAATTATAATATAGTATATATAGTTAAAGCTTAGTAAGCTATAGTTAGGCCTAAGTTGTCCTGGATATTATATCCCGAATAAAAGATCATGTGAAATTTGTTGGCGTTTCATTTTCATTATAATGGTGATGTGATAATGATGAATTTTACTATTATAAAAGTGTCATTTCCGGCCATCTCGAGAGGTACAATTTCCTCAAATTTTCTCACCTCAGCCCCAACCATGGTGGTACTGAGGTGGTTGTAAAATAACGGTTTTGAAGTAGGCCTATGTAAAGTAGATACTCAAGGACAATGTTTTAAGCTTTGTTTTCTGTGGTATATCACAAACACATTAATAAGATCTCTATGGTTGTCAAAAATCCATGATAAAAGATCATGATAATGTTTTTTGCGCTTCATTTTGATTAATGGTGATGTGCGATGATGAATTTTACTAAAAGTATCATTTATGTCCATCTAGAGGTACTGTTTCCTCAAATTTTCTCACCTCAGCTTCAAGGTGGGTGTCGACTCACAAAATGCCCTCCCCCTCCACCTTTCAAAACAGATCTATGCCCTTCCCTGGGTATGACATTAAATTCCATCGAGTCGGCTCCTGATGTATGTCTTAGTGACTGCTGTTTGTTTTTTAGGATGTGATCTGGTTTTTCATGTACATTTTTCGTGATTATGACTATTCTGGATAAATAATGTTTTGAGCAGAGGTGGATTGAAGGCCCCCTCCACTTCATTTATTCAAATTGAAGTGCGAGAGTGTAATTTCAGGCCGTCTAGAGATGCCCTAGACATAAATGGTGGGGCTGAGGTGAGTGGTTCCTTAGTCTGTGAATGTTCCACTCTGGTTCACCTCTCTTTCGAATTCCTGGATCTGCCACTGTTGATTTATTATATAATTATTTTTTCGCTTATTTATAATGCAATAATAATAATAATAATAATAATAATAATAATAATAATAATTTATTGCAATTTTCACTTTATCCACTCAAACAGTCCTAAGAACGTTCAGAGTGCACTACTTCACAGGGGGATTCGCCCCCTTGACCCCGCCGGAGTCCTATGTAATTCGCATAACGACTCCCCCACCCCCTTTTAAAATCCCGGCTACGTCCCTGGCCAGAGGAAAACGCCAAACGCGTATGTTCAAATTATTTGACAAACTAGGGCATCCATAGGCCTACCATGCATGTTCGACTTCATGAAAGAACTTAGAAAGCCTACGGTTGACCTCTGTTAAAATTTAGTAAAGGTCCGATAGAGTAAAATACATTTAAACGACAATTTAGTGCGAGAATCGAAATGTATTGTAACTACTTGGAGCAATACAAGGCTGGTGAAGCAAAGAATATCGTAATTGGCCTTGCCCATCTTCACGCAGCCGTTGCTTATGATGCAATATAGAAAGAGTTCGGCGATCGCTACGGACGTACCGAAGTTTGTTCAGGAATATATCACTCGTGCATTGAATTGGACAGCGATTAAGCACGACGATCCTAAAACGTTTTACAAATATAGCGTCTTTCTTTTTGATATGTCAGTCGACAGTAAAATATCTGATGTATTTGATTACTCTGAAAACATTCGAACAATAATATCGAAACTCCCCGCACCATTGCACGATAAATGGAGAAGTAGTGTACAAACACCAGGAAAAGGAATTAACTGTAAAATTTAAGGATTGTGTTAACTTCGTGAAAATGAAATTTAAAAAAAGCCAACGATCATACATACTGCAAGTCGGTCATGAAGGGTGAGTTTAAAAAACCATGTCACGATACACAAGAAAAAAACAGCACCTAAAAGAACATTTGACACAAGTTAAAGTTTCGAAAGCGCCATCACCAAACGACCATGCATTGATTGTAACAGAGCGAAAATTCTATGAACAAATGTCATCAATTCACAAATAAATTGTTGAAAGAAAAGTACTAGTTTCTGCTAACAAACGGTCTTTGTTTCCAATACCTAAAAATCGGTTACCGAAAGAAAGATTGTAAAGTTCCCGTTGTGATGAAAGCGGAACAGCCCTGACACACTTATGCATGTGAATAATACCAGCAAGGATAAATCCAACGAGGTATGTAGCATTCTCAAAGCGCTACAGACATCATTAAAGAATCATCAGCCTTTAATAAGGATAAGGGGGTCGGGGAGGTTCGCACTGTTTTATCTGTCGTACCCATTAAGATCATGGCTAGAAATGTATCCTTTATTTGGACATATGCCTTTATTGATAATGGGAGCACCTCATATTGAATAACGAATAGGTTATTAAAAAAAAAAAGAAACAACAAAACAAAACAAATAAAATAAATATACGCATAAACTATCACTTTATTTAGTGTTATTTTAAGTCCTTTTTTTACACAGTGTCTTAATTCAGTAGAGTATTTGAATGTATGTGTGATTAATGTGTTATTTTATTTTAAATTCTATGTTGTATGCTATAGCCTACTCTTGTAAACGCATTGTCATCGTGTGCCACTGTTTTAAAAGTGAAGTTTCAAATAAAGATTATTATTATTATTATTATTATTATTATTATTATTATTATTATTATTATTATTATTATTATTATTATTATCATTATCATTATTATTATTATTATTATTATTATTATTAGTAGTAGTAGTAGTAGTAGTATTAGTATTATGTATTTTTCTGCAGCCAACATTAGAATGCAGTTTCGAACGATGACTGTAGGAATTGGGGAATCCGTCACTATCCAACTCAGTAAAGGCGAAGCTTATACCAACTTACGATGGAGACAAAATTATGGTGACGCAATTCAAATGTGGAACGGTGAATCGTCCGTTACGATTTCAAATATACGCGCTAAAGATGACGGGGTATATGAATGTTATACCGATGGCAGTCCCGTTAACAACAACCGTGGAGTAATGAGACTCATTGTTAGAGGTAAATAAGCGATTCATTTTCAAAATCATATTTTTTTTTTTTTTTTTAAATGCATCAGTCATGGGCTCTACTTTTCCAACTTACCTTTCTAAGAGCATTTCCCTTCCTTTATTTTTGTTTACGGTAGATCAGTTTTACTTTCGGAATCTCATACGACTCTTCTTTTTGAACATAGTATAATCAAAAAACTAAAATCTGCTCAATGCCGGTCTTTATTTTATTCTGCTCCTCACATCTGAAAAAAATTGTTAATTATTAATAATCCGAGATTGAAACTTAAAAAAAAAAAAAAAATAGTTATACAGTTAACTAATGCCTCATACTTCCTTGGACTGTTTAGTTGTTGGTGATCTGCATCTCAAGCGGATCCCCACTTGTGATTGTCAAGTTCCTTTTCATCTTTTTTATTTTTTTTTCTTTCTCCTCTTTTTGGTAGCACAATATCACAAAATTGCCAATAGCTTAACATGAAAACTTCAACGATCACTTGGCATAGCCTGGAATAGTTAAAATTAGCTTTTCAATTTGGTCAGTCATTATCTAACATATCATCCTAACAAATTGTCATTTCGTCACAATTTTAAAATGCTCAAAATTACTTGTTTTGTTCAAATTCTTTATTCAAAATTTACAAATCGTGGCAATGAACTAATTTCAATGTAACATTACTGAAAAAAGGGACTTAAAAAGAAGCTAAAAAGGGAATGAAAAAAAAAAGATATAAAAAAAAACTTGTTGACAAATTTAGAGCATTTCAAAATATTTCACATTTTCAGCGCTGTGCGCTCATTTTCATGCGTGCAACACGTACATTAGCTAAATATATTGGAGTTGTTTTGTTTTTTTTACATATTTTGGGTTGGTTCTTGACACTGTATTCACATTAATATTTTCAGTCTATTTCAGAAATGGCCAATAACAACGCCGTACGCGCGTATCAAACATTCGATTCCATTTGTGCGTTCGTGTCGAAATTAGTGAAAATATGCTAAAATAATACCTATATTTATTCATTTATAGATTCTTTAGATTCATGTGACCCAACTCGTCCTTTTGACGAATTCAAATATAGTTATTTATTTTTCTCTTCAGCACTACGATTTTGATGTAGCATGTATCTAATGTAAAAATTTCATAATGAAAGATGTAGAAATAATAAAGTATTGCTCTAAAGTCGAATATATTTAAATCGTTTCGTTCGTTTCATTTTCAAGAGGAAGTCCCACTCAGCAAGGATGATTTGAGTCATTATTACAACAAACAAGTTACAAAAAAGGCACAAGGCAGTATCCACTGGAAGGAATCCCAATATCTGCAGACGGATCCGATTCGGCCTTCCAGGACTCATCAGTGCAGCTGGGGTATAGACCCAAAAGAAACGTTTGACCAGCTTAGGAAGGGCCCAAACCAGTCCCACTACCACTAATGATTACAGAGCCAAACCAAGGCAATATATGTTTTTATATATATATATATATATATATAAATATATATATATATATATATTCCAATGATTTTTTAAATATTTTGTTTAAATATATGAACCTTTTTTTGAACAATTAGTTCAATAGAATAGAAAGTGGTTTAAATAGAAACATGGTTCCTTTAATGACAGTTGATAAAGTGAACCGTCATTGGACCGACAGTACGAGCGGTTTCATCTGTTTGTCTCATGTGCTTATGGCGTAATACGAACATTTACTATTAATTTGTACGCATCACCAACGAATAATTGTCTGATTCTTTGCCTGGTCTTTCATTGGTAAGTGTGCTCAAAGATTGTATTTAGTTGGCACCAGGATTTGCCAGACGGGGGTCAGACGTCCTCGAAGGGAAATGGCGCGATGTCCCCGACGACAAAATATTGGGCGTGATCGGGCGACAATTTAGAGTGTTTCAAAAGCTTGTATTTAAAAGATTTTAGAATCTACTAATATGCCTATGTAGAAAATACACTTTATTTCTCCCAGACGAATTGGGGTTTTTCTCCCCAACGGGGGAGGGGGCCTTAGCCCAGACGGGAGCTGGCCCTCTTACCCTCCCCGTGATTCATTTTCTAAATATTATTTTAGTTTTTCGTTTTTATTTATTTACTTAGATTGTCCATTTCCAAAATGGAGTCCCCCTGAATGTGAAATGGACTGTCCTGTGTGTTATAACGGTGGAGTTTGTGACGACAAGAATGGTGTTTGTATTTGCCCTGCTGGCTTCAAAGGAGATAACTGCGAAACAGGTACGCGTAGGATATTCCTGATGTATTTGATTATACACACGTAATGTATGATATGGAGCGCATGAGTTCATTTATTTATTTATTTTTAAGGAATATTGTTTCAGAATATATTATTATTCTTAAATAATGGAATAAATATATTATTAAAATTCTTCGTTAATCTAAGTCAAAATATATCTCTTTGTACGAGTTATGCTTCCTGTTTTTACTTTATTGTTTAGGCTGTGGGTCAAACGACTGGGGACGTAATTGTAATAACGTATGTAGTGGTAGTCGTGCTGAAGCTTGTAGTGGTCAACTATTTTGTCCGCCTGATCCTGCCGGTTGCGCGTGCATCGATGGATATGGTGGAAACGATTGCAATACAGGTTTGGATAGTTATAGCTGTTTCCGTTTATAACTTTGATGCTCCTAATGTTCATTACAGTGTTAAGTATGTCAGAAAAAATGAAAAATTGCCCAGTACACCAACAAGTAACCTAAATTAGGATTTACTGTGCATAATTGAATTGAAACGATAAACGTAACATTGTCACTCGTTACATGTCTTTTCAAGACAATTGAAATACGCTCTAAACGACTACCATTTTTTTTTTCTGTTCTGTTATATCTTTTTTCAGCATGTGATAGCAATCACTATGGTGCAGACTGTCGCCAAGTATGTCACTGCAATTTAGGAGTATGTAATAGAAAAACAGGGGATTGTTCATCCGGGTGTTCGGCCGGTTACATGGGACCAGCTTGTCAAGGTATATTCAAGTTTTGTTTGTCAAATGTTATGAGTATTAGTAGTTTCATTTGTAATTATTTCGTATAAAAAATAGCAAACTATTAAAAAAAAACAAAAAAAAAACAGCACAGTCATATAATCCTATTTAGAAATACGACTGTTCGTAAGTTACAAATGTAATTACATATTGTAATTATATCTTGTTTCGGAAAACAAAAGTTCAATAGAAAATTGAATTAGCCTACTGTATTTTAATAATAATTGTAGTATTTATATTTAGTGCTCAATCTGTAAGTCTCTACAAAGGTAATGTAAGGCTACATAAAATAAATAGTACTTGATTAAATTTAAGCCAAGCTACATTATGATGTTTCAAAATTGGGGAGTTCAATAACATTATGCTAAATAGAATGAACAACTGAATTTATGACATTCTATCTATCATTCAAATGATTAATTTGGTAAGTATGTGTAAATTTTCGATTTTGAATCCAATAAATCCTAGTCTTCCATACTGTGATATGTTTTAAGTGGACGCTATTACACGTAGGACAGGAAGACAATCGAATACGAAATTTTAAAATAGGATAGGCCTATAATGTGAACACTAAAATGGTAATAGTTTAAAAGTTAATGTAGACCTAACTTTTACTCTTAGACTCAACATATGAAGATCTTAATTATGCTTAAATTTCTTTTAGAACTAATGCCTAATCAGACCTGTGAGTCTGGTGTTTTTGGTGTGTTGTGCAACTATCCATGTCATTGTAAAGACTCGGCCGATTGTAATCGCGATGGGAGCTGCGACAATGGATGTCACGAAGCATGGACTGGAAAAGACTGCAGCATAGGTAACGATACACGTACAGTTTACTTCATCAACTCCAATGTGACGTTATTTTTACTGTTTTCTCCAAAGCCTTCGACTGCTTTTCTCACAAACAACTCATATGCAAAAAGAAAGAAAAAATATTGCATTATTTTTCTTAAGTTAACTACTAATCTTATAAATCGCAGTCAGCGTGTAATTATTAATGTTTTTTGTTCTGCTCGGAAACTTGTTCCTTCTGGTGTGTAAATTGTGTTATGTCGAAGATTAGCCTTACATTTTGCTCTTTTTTTTAGCCAGACTAAAAATGTCAAGCAGTTATGTCAAAAAAAATCGTGCACTTTGTGATAAAGCATGAAACTTGGCAAACATGAACTAGGCCCATTAACTATAGCAAAATATTATATTCAGGTTTGTGATTCACGTCAATAGCGCCCTCTATCGGTCCAAAACGGTAAACTTCTTACAATTATCTTTCAAATTCTTTATATTATATACAAATAATGATAGTAGATAGGCCTATGCCTGTCTCTTATACACATCTAGATGTGTATAAGAGACAGATGTATGATCTGGAGCGCATTGGTTCATTCATTTTTCCATTTTTTTTTTTAATTTATTTCAATTTTTATTCGTATTCTTAAATAATTCAATAAACATATTATTCATTTTTCTTTAGTCTAAGTCAAAATATATCTATTTGTACGATTTATGCTTCCTGTTTTTACTTTATTGTTAAGGTTGTGGGTCAAACAACCTACACTGCGATCGGTACACGAACGACACCGTCGTGGCCTGGTCATGATAGTGTGATAGCAGATAAGAGCAACTTGCTCGTGACAAGGCAGAGGTCGTGCATGGTCGCGAAGTTTTCAACATGTTGAAAATGTTATTGTGGTATGTACTGGTCGTCAGTCTAATCGTAGTCGCTCTCACACGTGTCATAATCATTTGGATAAAATGGCCATGAATACTTTCCACAATAAATGACAAATGCAGGTCCTACTTCCAGTCGGATAGAACCGCCGGTAGAACGGTCGCAGTGCTAGGTCGCGATAATGTGAGAGTTAACAAAGATAATAAATAGCAAAAGATAGAGCAGCTTCCCATTATAATGGGACATCCGTTCCAAAAACATTGTGGGTACAAGGAGAGCAATTTACCCCGTCCGCGCGACGGCGCTATATAGCAATAATAAAGGTGCCGCTCTGGTTCGTTTGTTTCCTGTAGTTTCTCCACTTAGTAAAATGGTCAAATTTTACCCTATACAGGGGAGGGCGGATGTTTCATCGATTTTAATGCAAATTCGCGGAACAGCTAATTCTTATGTTATTTAAGTTCTTTGAAGTTACTAAGCCAGGCACTCAATGCGACCAACGGTCGTCGTCCGACGCGATTCTATGAAAGAATGCAACGCGACGACGCGCGCGCAACAGATAATTTTTAATGAGATCTGTTCAGACTGCCACCGACAATCAGCAGACGGCGTCGTGTCTTCGGCGCTCTCATGGAACAGAGTAGGATTCGACGTGCGATGGTAGTACAACCGTCGTAGTGCATAATGAGTGCCCGGCTTTGAACTCGTATTATTGCTCGGATTAATTTTAAGTTTTGTAAGTTTTTTTTGTTAATTCTATTAATTTGCGTTATTGTCCTGTTTTCAATGTCCCTTGTAGAGTTAATGTTTGTAAACGTAGTTTTTAGAGTTGATGTTTGTAAACGTAGTTTTCTTTCTAGGATTCTAATGAAATTTAATTCTATTTCTTCTACAAGCGATATTGACATTTTTTTTAATCTCTCGTACTTCACAATTTATAAGTAATTGTGTATTGTTTGTGTTTATTTTGTAATATTATATCATATCATATTAGTATAATGTTTATGATTTTAGCTACATTTTTGCACCTAGCCTGTTAGTGGCGATGATTCGTCTGTTGGATTTTAATAAATAAATAAACTTCAGTTTAAACCTTTATTTTGTACATTCTTATAATCACATTTAAAAAACAAAGTGACTAAAGAGAACTTAACGTATGGTTTATATAAAGTCGCATAATTTACTTAAAATAAATTTAATATATTACCACCCTGATATTAAAAAAATAAATATTATAATGAAAGTTATTTTTATTAGCACTACCTTACAGTTCCAAACCGCCAACACTTTTGAATCAAACAGCAACCACCCTAAAGATTGCAGCCTGCAGCTGGGATCCAGTTCAAGACTTTGGAACAGGAAATATAACTGGATGTAATTTATGGTACAAAACATCGCAGACAAGTGAATTCATTACAGTTAATAACATTGAACACGGTGTATATACCATAGACAATCTCCTACCACATACGACTGTTGAATTCTACACACGACATTCGAGATTAGTCGGCGGCATAGAAACTGATGGACCACCTAGCGAACATGGATCAGCAGAGACTATATGTACAAGTAAGGATATTTGCTTACTAATATTATTATCATCACCGCTACCACCACCACCACCACCCCCATTATTCTCATATTTTTTGCATTATGCTTTTCAGTTGTAGAATTAATAATGTCATTGATTAGTAAATAAAACATATATAATTATATTTCATAGATCATCATTTAAATGGCAATGCAAGATTCAATTGCGTTGTAAAACTTTTGGCGAAATGGCTAGGAATCTCAAACCTGAGGTCAGATGTTTCCTTCGCTCTACAAGTATCTTGTGCCAATTATTTGGGCAATACACCATCTAACCATGTGTCTAAATGGGAATTAACATGCTGGAGAGTGGCGACACAGCCCCACAACCCAACCTCCAGTTTTACACGGTCTTTTCCAAACGGCTAGGAACCCATATAAAATGAAAACGCATTACTTACAATAACCTGATATACAAAGATAATAAAAAGGCAGCACTCTGAGACTAACTTAGATGTTATTTATATTCAAAACAATTTTTCGCTGACAGCCCCATTCCCCCTTTGGCACCACCATTGTAACATAAGATTTATTTTTATGGCCATATTTGCTCCAATGATAATGCAATTTGTTTTGCTTTGTAATATATACGTCACATAATTGTAAATCAAATAATGATTTCTTTTCCTAAAGAGCCTTTAGATGAACCAGAAATAGAATTGAAAACAGCTGATAGTAATGAGATAATCTTTACAATTAAAGTAAGTATGCGTATGCCTATTTCAATATTACAATCCTAATTTCGATCTTAAGTCGTGTTGTTCCCACGCTGATTAATGGCAAGTATTAGACGGAATTGACAGAATAATATAATTTATATATATAGATAAAATATATTAGCGATATTAAGCCTTTTGCCTATATTGTACTTATAGCCTGTTTCAAATGCTCCAGAGCAAATCCAATGTGATGGTATACTTCGATATCAAGTGCGATACCAAAGTAAAGTTGGGAATGAACATGACATTGTCAACACAACGGACGGTTTGCAAACAGAAATCGAGATATCGGGATTATCAAATTGTGTTGCCTATGACGTCGTTTCTAGAGTTGTTAATAACGAAGAGTTTGTCGGAGATTGGGGTGTACCTGTAGCGGTTGAAACAGCACCATCTGGTAAATTCCTTACTATTAGTGTAAAAGGTTTATTATCTAAATTAGTAGCAGTAATATTCTGTATTATTATTAAATATATTCCATGGACCCAATAATAGGTAAATGTAGGGTGCTCGCTGTCATTATATTCATATAGTGACTGTCCTTGTAGAATGCAATATGCGATGGTTATATAATCATACTCTGGCTTATACCGTCCTCTATATTATATATACAACGAAGTTACATGAGTTTAATTATAATACTGGAACAGAATCAAACGCCGTAGATTTTTTTTCCACCATTTTATAAATACGCCATTTTTTAAATTCATCCCAAGAATGACTGTGAACCAGGGTACAGTGACATTTCACTTTTCCATGCTGTGAACACACGCTTTACAGGTTTTTTTTTTTTTTTTTTTTTTTTTTTTTTTTTTTTTTTTTTTTTTGAAGACGTAAACAGGCCTCTAACATGTTTGACTATATTTAAAATATGTTTTATTATTTTTATTATTATTATTTTATTATTATTATTATTATTATTATTATTATTATAATTATTATTATTTTCCTTTTGTTCTCAAATGTCTTCATTTTGAAAACTTTAGGTGGGGAACAGGCCAGCTTGGCTCCCTTAAATCCGCCACTGTTCCAAACAAATATTATTTTAGTGACAATCACAAAACACACGTGTTTTATAACCATAATTATTGCCTAGAGTAATCTATAAATAAAATGAATGTAAATGAATGAATGAAAATATGAATGAATAAATAAATAAATTGAAATGAATAAATAAAAATAAATGATGAAAATATATAAATGAATGAATAAAAAAAATCGAATGAATAAATGAAAAGGAATGAATAAATGAATGAATGAGTGAGTAAATAAATGATGAATAACTGAATAAATTAATGGATGAATTAATAAGTGATTGAGTGAATGGGTGAATGAATGAATGTAAATGAGGGAGAGAATAAGTGAGTAAATGGATGGATAGATGGACAGATGAAATGAATAGACTAGAGATAAAAAAAAAATTTACAGACAAGCAACTTCCCTAAATTGATCATTATCTGATTTAAAAAATTGATTTTTTTTTTTGTTATTACAGATCACATAATATGTTAATAATAATAATAATAATAATAATAATAATAATAATAACAATAATAATAATAATTATTATTATTATTTTATTATTATTATTATTAACATAATATGTTATAATATAGTATTTTATTATTATTATTGATTATTATTAATGAAAATATATAAATACTATAAAAATGTTACAGGCCTAGAAGTAGTTATTCAAATATCAGAGCAGCTGAATAAATGAGTGAATGATTGAATGAATGAATAAATGAATGAATGAATGAATGAATGAGTATTAATGAAAAAATGAGTACGTGAGAGAATGAATGAGTGTAAATGAGGGAGAGAATAAGTGAGTGGATGGATGGATAGATGGATAGATGGATGGATGGACAGACACATACCTGTATACGTAATATTTTAAATCCAAAAAAAAAAACAATAAAAAAAAAAAAAAAATACCCTGTAAATCGTGTGTTTACAGTCATAATAACAGGAAACAGCGAAATGATTTAATTATTAAATTTCACTGTTCCCTGATAATTAGGATGAATTCCAAAATAGCGTATTTAAATTCAAATGGTAGAAAAAAATCGAAGCTGGTTCCCGGCATTCGAGGCTGTTCCAGTATAGTAATTAAACTGTTGTAATCTGGTTGTATATCAGGACGGCATAAGCTAGGTTCGCAAGGACAGTCGCCAGTCCATGTATATGATGACAGTAGAATAATGGATTGGGTCCTTTCAAGGGCGTTGATCCGCTGTGAAAAGTGAGATGGACGAATTGCAAAATATGGAAGTCTTTGACCACAGGCCAAAGCCATGCAGGGGGCCGGAGTAGTAAATGCGACTACACTATTGTGAGTAGAAATGCTCCCCGTCTAACTTACGATCAAACAGGTAGTTGCTAAATACAACGGGTTCAGCCGAGAAGTGTGGCTTCGTATGTTGACGTCATGCATAACTTCAGCTATGTTTTGAATTTCCTCGACAAAGTGTGGGCCCTGACTGTAAAAACACAACATAGCAAAATACACACCGTACAACTAATTCCTTCATGGTGCAACCAATGTAAGAAAATATATGTTCTCTGTGTGTTTTTCTTTTCAAAAATTAGGATCCCTGGAATATTATCAATTCATGGGGCCTACACAGAGTGAAATAATACATAGGCCTAGTTAGTCTTATTTTAGCGGTAGGGATTAGGCCTTAAATCACAGAAAGAAAATAAAACATGAATTCAATGGCCTAGGCCCTACTATAGTACTACCTGGCAGGGGTGGCGGCAGCGGGTGTGGGAAATGGCCCCCTCGGGGAGGTCTGGCTTTTCTCCCACCCCCTCTCAGTGAGAAAAACCACAATTCGTCGGGGAGAGAAGATGAAATGTATTTTCTACATATGTCTATTAGTAGACACCAAAATCTAATCCAAAAACTTCACGTAAATGAGGCATAGGCCTAGACAGACTGTTGCGGGTTGCTGAACGCAATCTAATACCAGGCCCCAGACTACCGAAAACACCTCCTAGTCCGACCTAGCCCAGGCTTAGTTAGTGGGAGCCTAGACCTACGAACGTCCATACTACTACCAATCGTCTGAAAATGGATTCGATCGTCCCTCACCCGCCAGTAGCATTAGCACAAGAAAAACTAAGCTAAACCTCAGCCTGCTCGCCTTGCTAAATTCACATTGGTCACACAGTGTAGTGTGATGTTTTTGGTATAACATAATTATACATGACGTTACCGTATACAAGCCACCCATCTCGGATGAACCCGTTGTAGATAGCAACTACAGATCAAACAGGACTAAGGAGATAGGAAACAAACACAACATTAGTTAGTAGTATTTTACTTTTAGAAACATAACAAATGATTTGCTTAATTCATCGTTATCGCGACAGGACGGATCCAGAAATTGTCTGACGGGAGAGTGGGGGTGGGGGGAGGAGGGAATAGGTAAGGACACCCACCTTATTGAAGAATCTTTCCAGACGCTTGAAAGTGACACTCTCAAATGGTAAATGTTTTTTTAATGTAGTGTCCTCTACAAAAATATTGACTTTTCCTGATGGGAAATATGCTTCCCCTCACTTAGAATTTAGAGCAAATTTTAAGAATATGCCCCTCTAGGTGGTCGGAAATGGCTCTCTCGGATGGTAAAAATGCTTATTCAAAGGAGTCTCCTCGACAAAAATAATGACTTTTCCAGACCCCTATCCTGCTGGATTAATATGATATATATATATAT